GACCTGTGTGTGCAGCCTTGGGACCCCACGAGGGGGTGGGCCAGTCTCCCCCAAGTCATAAGCCTCCCCAGCCTTCACCCTTGGCGTGAGCTTCTCTGGTCCTGGAGGCCTCTGCCGGGGAGGGGTGTGTGTGTGTCATCAGTCCCTGTATCTTATTCTCCTGCAGGGAACTGGAGAGGGACTGCCCCTTGGCTGCATAAACACATTTGTAGACGTGGATGCACCCCAGGTAGCTTGATAGGAATTCCTGTCTTCCCTCCGTGGTTCTGCATGTGTAGCCAGCGAGGCCCCGACGGGGAGGCTGCTTCCTGCCTGCTGCTCCTTCAACACATGGGGCTTTGGCACCAGCTCCCTCCTCCACCCACCTGCGAGGCACACACCTTCCTTCTCGGAAGGGGCCGGCTGTGTTGGGGCCACTGCACACGCCAAGCATTCCGGTTCTTCCGAGTGTCCGACCAGATCTGACCCTGGGCCTTGGGCATGGCAGTGATCACAGGGTCCCCCGTGGAACAGATCAAGAGGCTTTCTACTCGTTGTAAAGTCAGTCTCGGAACCGGTGGGGTGCTGAGTCAGCACGGACTCAAGGGCACAGCGTGGTTTGCTTTGAGGACAGCACGTAGAACGGTCCCTGGGGTCTTCGAGGCCGTCACAGAAGCCCTGTTTCTCTCATGGAGCAGCTGGTGGGTTTGAACTGGTGACCTGTCAGTTAGCAGTCCAGTGGCTCACCCACAGCCCTATAGACCACAGCCCACAGCTGACATGGCCTATATGAGTGAGGCGTGGGTGTGGACATTGACATGGTGTGGATTTGGGGGTGGTGTGGACCTGGATACAGCGTGGATGACCTTGGAAGCATGAAATGGAGAGGAAGACACCAAGTGCAGGCGCCACACACTGTCTGCCCACCCCCTCCCCGTGACAGAGCCGTGCTGGGCAAGTGCTGGGTGCTGGGTGGAGTGACGGCCAGGCTCAGGCAGCAGTGATGTGGGACTCACTGCACCTGGCTTGCCGGCCTGCTCTCTCCAAGGGCGGACTTCACAGCTGGAAGAGGCTCCCGCAGGGGCTGGGCAGGCATCTGATCAGTTAAGCTTCTTCCCCGTGCCTCACCTGCTTCCGATCTCAGGCTCTGCCTGGGCTTGTCTTCTGGGGTCCCAAGCTGACCGAGGGCCCCAGGAGCCCCCCTGCAGGCCTGGGATGTTCCTGCCATTCTAGAGTGCTCCATAACGTTCCACCTGCGGCTAAGTGGTGTGTGGGCACTTGCAGTCAGGGCCTGAGCCCCTCCCTCCCTCTGTGCAGACTCCTGCGTGAGCAGTGGATCCGGGCCAAGTACGAGCGGAAGGAGTTCCTCCACCCGGAGAAGCAGGAGCCCTACTCCGCAGGTGCGCCCCGTTTCCCGCCCGTGGGCCCTGGCGGCGCTCCCCGGCAGGGCAGCCCTGCTCCGTGACCTTCCCTGGCATTTGGCGAGGCTGGTGTGGGCCGGACGCCAAACCAGGCTTCACAACCGTGCCTGTCAGAGGGGGAAACTGAGGCAGGCAGCGCAGCTGGAACCGGGAACATGGGTCCCACACCTGGCACCCCCTCCCTGAAGAGCAGGTGGCCCTCAGAACATGGGTGCTGCCCTGCCGGGGGGTGGAGGGCAGGCAGGCAGTCTTCAGTGTGGCCGGCAGGTGGCCATGCCCCTGGCCCACTGGCCGAGGACAGACACGCTCCATGGGCCCACTGGAGAGTCACTTGACCACGAACTGAAAAGCTGTCCTGATGTGGCAGGGGTGGGTGGTGGCTGCTGCATGGGGATGGTTTGTTTGAGGGACAAGAAGTTTCTATAACAGTTGGAGGTGGAGGTGCCCAAGGCCACTGGGTCCTGCGCTTTGAGCGGGACTGGAGGAACTGTCCCCTCGATGGTGACAAGAAGCGGGCACAACCCACTGGTTGCTGGCGGGGGCAGACACCTTCCTAAGGCCAGGGCCCTGGGTTGGGGTGGGGGGGCTCACAGATGGGGTGCAGCCCCTCCACTATTGGCCATGGATTCGGAGTGCATTGATCTGAACGACTGATTGATTGGTCCCAGGGCGCAGGGCAGGGGTGCTTGTGGGCAGGCCGCGCTCCGAGGCAGTTTCCTCCCTCCCACTGGGCTGCAGGCGGCCTGTGGTTCAGAGGGTCCTCGCAGAGGGCCACCCTGCTCTCCTGGGGCCCCACGTACGAGAAAGTGCAGGAGGGCAGAGTGGGAGCCTGAGCAAGCACGGTGGACGGAGAGCCTGGCTCGTTTCCCAGCCCCTCCCCCCATAGCTATTTCTGAAAATGCGCGGAGATGAGATTTTTATAGCAACATGGTAACCAACTCTCAGCCTGCCTGGCCCTGTGAGAATCCCTCCGGCCGAGATGGGGGAGGGGTGGGTCTGCTTCCCAAAATATGGCCGACGGGCAGGGGAGAGGTGGCCCCACAGACAGGTGCTGCCGGACAGATGGAGGAGGGGTGGTTGGAGTGGATGGTCTGTGAGTGCAGGTGGATAAACCCAGCACTGCTGTGGGCCCATGCAGACCCCTTTGGACCACGACGGACAAGGTTTCCACAGCTGCAGCACAGCCTGTCTCCTGAAGAGCAGCTGCAGGGTTTGAACTGCTGACCTTGAGGCTAGCAGCCCAAAGCCCAGCCCGCAGCACCACCAGGCTCCTTAGCTAGCTCCATAGCTGCTGGTGAATCACAGACAGCGGTGGGTGGACAGATGGGTGAATGCTGTGAGGACACAGGTAAGACGGACGGATGGATGCGGACAGCAGGATGGAAGCATGTGCAGGGCGCCCACCTGCCCTGTGCTTGCTCGCAGACAGGAACAGCCTCGCAGTGGGAATCGAGGCTTGCCTTGGCTCAACTAGACTGGACATGCCGGGGGCCCCACCTGAGAGCCAGGTGGTTCCTGGCTCTGAGGACTCAGGGTCTTCCCTGATAAGAAGGGATGGGAAGGAAGGGGAGCGCTCTCCTTATTAGAGAACATTCCCTGCCCAAGAACTCTGCCAGCGGCCCATCCACCACCACCGTGCCAACGCCCCTACCCACGAGCCCTGAGCTGGTTTGAGGCGCAAGCAGCCAGGCCTTTCTCCCCAGGCCCTCTGGGTGGTGGTAGCAGCCGAGCCCAGGCCCCTGCCCTACTCCTGTCCACAGCGCCAGCTGGCCTGCTAGGAGGTTGAGGGTCAGTTCGGGTGTCAGAGGCTGGAGGTGTCTGCTAGCTGGGCCACGCTGTCACCATTAACTTGAGACAGTGTCCTGGAGGCCCTGCTGAGCGCCGACTAGGGTTGGGGAGGAGGAGGCTGGGAGACGGGCCCCTCCACTGGGAGGTCTTTGCATGGGGGGGGGGTGTTCACACTGGGTTGCTCTCTGTGTTCTCTCTCTAGTCCCCTGCTCCCCTCAGTTCCCAAGTGCCTGGGGGGCGGGGAGAGGGGGAGGCAGGTCTCCCCCCAGCAGGTCTTGGCCTATCTCTGCATCCACCAGGAGGGCGGAGGGCAGGCTGACACTCTTCCAGTTGGTCACAGACCCATCTCCTCCCTGGGCTGAATATCAGGGAGACACCCATCCTTACAGAGCTCTGGGGGCTGGCAGGCCCCCTCCAGGGGTACAGACATTTCCTCTGCCTGCACCTGCCCTGTGGTCACCTGGTTTGGGGGCCAGTCAGTCTGAGGCCTGCTGCCTCCGAGCCTTCTCAGGGTGAGGAATGCCCCCCCCTCACCAGTGCTGCCCACCCCCACCCCCGTTTTGGAGGTAGAGGGGTTGGCGGGTGGGCCTGGAGGCCCATCGGTGGCCCTTGTTCCCAGTCCAGCAAGTGGGGGCATGGTCCGGGGAGCGCAGGATGCCCATGGCAGTGGACACCCTGTCTGTCCTGCGTGAGTCTGAAGAGGCAGGCCCCGCCCACTGCTCTTCCCCCCCCACCCACCCCCACCCTATGTGCCACAAAAGCACTTTCTCACGGTGGCCGGGTGACCCCTCCGCCTGGGGAATGCAGAAGTGTCCGAGGAAGGGGAACGTAGGGCTGGGAAAGGCCCCCACCAGAGGCTGCTTCCCCGGAACCTTCCAGAACTGGCCGTGCTCAGAGGGGCTGCTGGCCCTGGGGACATGGGGTGCTGTGGGCTTCAACACAGGGCCAGGGGGGCCCCAGGGGTGTTGGCAATGGGGCTCACAGTCAGGGGCAACTAAGGCATTGAGGGGTGGGTTTGGGGTGCCCCATCCAGGTTACCTGTTGGGGGCCATTGAACCCTCAAGCTGAGCATGGGCAGAAACCAAAGCCAGGTGGCTCAGCCAGGGCCTGGCCTCCACCCCACCACTGAGGGGGCGCTCGGGCTCCATTCCTGCTGCGGTGGGCCGGTGGGGACTTGAACCTCAGTGCTGTCACCAGGTGATGGGTCCCTGACTCACGGGGTTGTGACAGGCGGCTTGCCTGCTGCCATCTCCCCGAGGAGCGGTTGGCGGGGGCTTCTCCCGCAGAGTTGCTGGTGAGTGCAGCCTGCCGACTGTGCAGGTCGGGAGACCACAGAGCCAGGACGTGGAACTTGTGCGGTGGGAGGGGCCCTGTGGCTCAGCAGGTCACATGTTCAAACTCAACAGCCACTCCTGCAGGAGGAAGGCCAGGTTGTCTGCTCCTGTGAAGACTGTCCGTCTAGGAGACCCCCAGGGGCCCTTTGTCCCTGTTCTGTGGGGTCAGCAGCAAGTTTGGTCCTAGTTTGGTGGCGGTGGCTGTGGCAGGGGGGGACACAGCTCTTCCTCGTTCCAACCATACATGTCAAGAGAATGGTGTCACCATCAGGTGTCACATCTGTCCTGACCCCTAGCGACCCCTGGGACAAGAGGAGACCGGCCCGCCTGTCGTCCTCACCATCAAACCATTGAGCCCCGAGGCAGCCACCACGCCCACCATCTCTCGAGGCTCCTCGTGGTTGCTGCCCTGCTCCGGTCTTTGATTCTAAGGAGCACCTGGCTGCTGCGCTCTCCTGGCAGTGCCCCACTCCCCCATCCTTCCACGGAACCAGGTTGCAGATGGGTCCGTGATCCCATCTTCCTGACTCATCCATACAGAGGACTCAGCTCAGGCTTGGGGAGCGGAGCGGCGAGGGCATGCTGCTTACAGACTGTGGACCGCCTTGGGTGTGGTGGATCTCTGTGGGTGCTGGGGAAGCAGGTGAAGGGCACATTGCCCCTCCCCCACCCAGTGCTGGGACCCCAGCTGCTGGCTAACCCAAGTTCAGCCTGGCGGACGTTGAAGGACACGGGACTTGGAATGGGAGAGAGGGGGACACAGCCAGCCCCTCGACCCCCATAGCTGGGTTGGGGAGGGGCCTAGAGGACTTGGTCTGGTGGCCAGACCCCTGTCCCCATCTGCTGGTGGGCAGAGGGGAGCTGCTCCCACCCCTAGCTGCCTGACCTGGGCCGGGGCCTTTGAGCACGAGGGCATCAGCGGGGTTGTGGGGGCAGGTGCAGAGGACCATCGGGCCTTGTGCTGGACAGTGGGGGGCGCTTGATGAGCTCCCCTGGACACAGCCTGTGGCTGCAAAAGCCTGGCCAAAGGTGGCCCAGCACGCTCCTCTGTGGGGTGTCCCACGGCTGCCCACCATTCCCCCTGGCCCCTCACTGGGGCTGTGACCCTGGTCAGGGCCCTGCCTGGCTCCCTCCCAGACTGCCTCCACCGCCCCCATGCCTAAGCCTCAAGGCGGCCTTTCAGGGCTGGACAATGCCTTTGTTGTTCAGGGCCGGACCCTGCTGCTTCCCCCACCTGACCCCGCCTCAACAGACACTGCTGGCTTCGGCCCCGCCCCCACAGTGCTCCAGCCCCTCTCCCCCAGGGTGGAGGTGAGGCTCCCTTCCTAGGATGTCCAGTTGTGGGGGGCACTGCACCCCACTGAAGCCCTAGGAAGGGAGGGTGTGGACGCTTCTGCCTCCTGGCTCTCCAGTGAGCTCCTAGGAGCTGTGTGGGCCTCGGCCTGGACCCTGTGCCCTACAGGGAGACAGCCGCTTGCCCACAGCCACCTCACATGCATGTACACACCCATACACACAGACACCCTTGCACCCACACCTCTCTGGGCCTCGAGGGTCAGCTGGGCTGAGATGGCCTCAGTATGACTGACGGGCACAGGGTCACCCTCTTCCCACCCACCCACCCCGGTGGCAGCCTGGGGCCCAGACCCCCCCTCCCCCCACCTGTTGCCCCGTGGGTCTCAGCCTGTCTGAGAGCCCCTCACCCTGAAGTGCAGCTGCCCCCTGCTGGGCAGTGCAGGTGTGGCAACGAGGCTGCAGGGCCAGGCAGCACGCTTTTCCACGGGCCTTCAAGGGGGTCCAGCCACCTGCCCCTGCCAACCAGCAGGTGACCTCTGAACCCGTTTCCTCAGCTACACACTTGGGGAAGGGCTATGTGGGGTGCCTGGTGTTAGCGAGACGTGTGTGTTGTGTTGTGTGTGCCTGGTGCGGAGGCGCCCCGTGGGGCGGGGCCATGTGTGGCGGCTTGGGCCTCCTTGCGCCGGCTGGCTTCCTCGGAGTGGGGAACGGACAGCAGGGCTGGGTCTGGCCCAGGGGCAGCCAGGCTCTGAAGGACAAAGTGGGCACTGCCTCTGAGCTGGGCCACGCCGGACGCACCGGGTCTTCACTGCTCATGGGCTGCCACCCGGGTGCGTGTCCTGTGGGCCGCGTCTCAAGGAAAGAATCGGGAAGACTACCAACGACGCGTGGGGACCACGGGACCTCGGTCTCCACTTCCGAGACCAGAACTGGAAGGTGCCTGGCCACACTGCTGCCACTGCACAGTCCTGGCTCTAGAGGGAGCTGGGGTGGGAACACCCCTCAGAACTGCCCGAGAGACCAGTCTGACGGGACAGGGCAGACAGAGCTGAATGTGTCCCAGTGCTTTAATACAGTCCCAGTCTTCTGAGATCCAAAGGGTAGCTGTGACCCAAGGACAGAGGTCAGGGGTTAGGAGAGGAGGGGCAATGGAAGCAGGGACGGGGGGCATGGGACACCAGGGGGGTGGCTGTGGGACTCTGGGGTGGGAGGGTCGGAATGTGCAGGTGGTTGAGTGGCGTGGGAGGCCATCGCCTGCTTCACCGTGAAAAGTGAAACCTCGGTGGGTCCCTGGGGTCAGTGTGTGGCCACCAACTGGCCACTCCTGGCCTGCCCACTGCCCCCGTGAGGGTCCACAGGGGGGCCAGGCTGGTGATCTCAGGCCGTCCATCTGTCTGCAGGGTACCGCGAGGGGCTGCTCTGGAAGCGAGGCCGAGACAATGGGCAGTTTTTCAGCCGCAAGTTCGTGCTGACAGAGCGCGAGGGGGCCCTGAAGTACTTCAACAAGAATGATGTGAGCGGGGTGGGGTGGGGTGGGGGTCTACAGGGCCTGGAGCAGCTGCGAGGAGCCCTCTACAGCCATGTCCCGTGGGGGCATGTCATCCCACTGAATGAGGCCACCCACCTAAGGGAACTTGTCACCCCATCGATGAGACCGTCTAGGGGCCAGAGGAAAGAGGCTCTGTTTGCTGGGTTGGGGGCTGCAGGGGCATCCTGGAGGGGGCTCTGTGTGGTGCCACGAGGTGGTCTCCAGGGGCCCCGGCCCAGAGCTTTGGAGGACTCGGCCATGTTGTCCGCTCCCAGGCCAAGGATCCTAAAGCTGTGATCCGGATCGAGCACCTGAACGCCACCTTCCAGCCAGCCAAGATCGGCCACCCCCACGGCCTGCAGGTCACCTACCTGAAGGACAACAGCACACGCAACATCTTCGTCTACCACGAGGATGGGAAGGTGAGGCCGGGCCCTCCCACACTGCCACCCCAAAGGCGTCTGGGGCTGGGGCTGCCTTCTGGGTGTCCACAAGTCAGAAATCTCGGTGGTGGCGTGTCTTGCTCTGTCCGGCCAGCAGCTCTGGGGGAGGTCCCGCTGCGGGCACTGGGTCCAACCTCTGCCTCTGGCTCCTGGCAGCTCCGCTCCCATCCTGCCGAGTCCCCTCCTATGTCCCCGGATACCCGCATGCCCCTTGTCGGGGATGCCTTTCTGCTCAAGGCACACACAGCTGGCTCTTTCCTGGCTGAGCTGGGCTTGTGGCTTCCCCGTCCCACTGGGCCAGCCACTTCTTTTCTGTTTCCGTGGAGACTTCCTGGGCATTTCTTCCGCTCCATCTTCCTACCTGTCATCAAGGGTCTCAATCCCGCACTCAGGAGGCTCACTGTACTGGGGCTGTTGTCCACAGAGGGTCACTGCTTTGAGGTCAACTGTTCTTTGAGCTGCCTTGTCCTGGGTGTGAGAGGCTTGGGTCAGTGGCCTTGGGTGCCTGGGGTCTTGAGTTGGTCACATTCTTCAGGCCAAAGGCCCTCTGCCTGGCGCAGAGTGGACACCTGGGTAGACTTGGGCAGAACGTGGTGGGAGAGCAGGATGGAGGGTTTACTGTGGGGTTCGGGAGGAAGGGTATGGCAGGGGAAAGGGCATTGGGGTAGGAGGGAGAACCTCTGGAGGACCAGGGGCAGAGTCCATGGTCTGGGTGTCCAGAGTGGCCTTAGGTGTTCCCTTCTGACTGTGGTGACACTCATGTGTCCCCAGGAGATGGTGGACTGGTTCAACGCGCTGAGGGCAGCTCGCTTCCACTACCTGCAGGTGGCCTTCCCGGGGGCCAGCGACGCCGACGTGAGTCTCAGAGGGGTGTGTGTGCTGAATTGGGGGCCATGAGGCCCAGGAGGGTGCCCGGGGGTGAGCAGAGCTGGGCGTGAGTGTCCTGGGGGAATGACCAGTGCTCCCTAGCCTGTTTCCCCGTAAGTCCAGCTGACACACCAGGTCTGGGTTTAATGCCGGTGGCCAGAGGCTGGACCGATGGATAACTAGGCCTGGCAGGGTATGGGTAGACCTGCCTAGGAGTGGGGGCTGAGGCGATGGACCAAGGGGGCTCCTGACCGCTGTGCCCTCGTGTCCTGGCCCCAGCTGGTGCCCAAGCTGTCCCGGAACTACCTGAAGGAGGGCTACATGGAGAAGACGGGCCCCAAGGTAAGACTGGGCTGGGAGGGCCAGACTGGGTCCTGAGGCTGGGGGTGTCGGGGTGGGGAAGCAGACGGTCACCCCCACCCCCGGCCGGCAGCAAACAGAAGGGTTCCGGAGACGCTGGTTCACCATGGACGACCGCCGGCTCATGTACTTCAAGGACCCCCTGGTGAGTGGCGGGGCCCTCTGCTGGGGGTGGGGTGTGTGTGGACTCAGGCGGTGGACGCCGGTGTCTCACCCCGGCCTTGCAGGATGCCTTCGCCCGCGGGGAGGTCTTCATCGGCAGCAAGGAAGGTGGCTACTCGGTGCTGGAGGGACTCCCGGCCGGCACCCAGGGCCACCGTTGGGCCTACGGCATCACCATTGTCACGCCCGACCGCAAGTTCCTGTTTGCCTGCGAGACAGAGGCTGACCGCCAAGAGTGGGTAGCCGCCTTCCGAAGTGTGGTGGACAGGCCTATGCTGCCCCAGGAGTACGCAGGTGGGGGTGGGGTGGGGGTGGCAGGGAGGTACAGGTGTGCCCAGGGCCCTAGGCAGCCAGGAGGTGCAGCTGCCTGCCCTGATGGACCCCTTGGGTCAGGGAGGGCCAGGGATTGGAGTCTGGGTGGCTATTCCCAGGGCTGAGCACTGGGCCTGGGGTCACTGGGTCCTCAAAGGTGCTTGTCCCTTTTCAGTGGAGGCCCACTTCAAGCATAAGCCCTAGAGGCTGACCGAGCTGCCCTGCGTGGACCCCTGGTGGCAGCGTGCAGCCTGCAGAGGGCTCCTCAGAGGGGACAGTGAGCAGGGACCTGCCCTTGTTCTGAGACTGAACGCAGGGTGGGCCCCTTGGCTCCGGTCTGGCTGACCCCTGACCAACCAAGCTGCTATGACCGGCCCCCAGCCTGCTGCTCATCCCCAAGGCCCACCTGCCCACAGCAGCCTCTTCCTCCTCCCCTGCCTGCGCAGGGGTCTGGCAGCAGGCACGGGGGCCTGCAGCACACATGCCTGTGCTCCCCCACCTCCACCCCCGCCTTCTGCTAGGAGGCTTGGGGCCCTGTCCCTGACCTCCTCTAACTTGTATTTATTGGCTATTTCTGTGGTCACTCACTTTGGGGGGACCCCACCACAGCGCAGACCCCACGGTGCTCCCTCTGGCCACTGACTGGCGGGGCTGTGACCTTGCTGATCGAAACCCAGGGCACTGCCCACTTGAGGACTGTCCTAGACCCCAGCTGGCTGCTGGCCGGCCAGTGGCTACAGGGTCGAGTTTCCTCCACCCTGGCCCCCCAGGTGGCCCCACTGCCCCCACCGGGCCACATGCAGGGTGGACTGCCCACCTTAGTCCCTCCTGCAGCCGAGGGGTGGGACAGGCTGGAGCTGGGCTTGGTGATCCACATTCCACACCCTGAATAAAGTGGTGGCTCTGGAGTGGCCTTGTGTGTGCACATGTGAGCATGTGTGTAGGGGTCAGTGTGGTCTTCTGTGTGTGGTGAGGGGGCTGGCAGAGCTGCTGGCTGGGCACAGGGCAGAGGATAGTGGGCAAGCGGTGCTGGGCAGTCAACAAGAGTTGACTAGTTCCCTCTAGGCCCTATACCTGCCCCTGCTGGGGGTAGGAGGGTGGTCCTCATCCTGTGTGGGGCTGCAGCTGCCCAGCAACTTTGGGGGTTTTGAGCCCCACCTCCTGCAAGGACTTGAGCTGAGACCTTCCCATCCAGGATGGCTGGAGTGATGGGGCCCTATGCAAGCCTCGTGTGTGTGTGTGTGTGTGTGTGTGTGTGTGGGGGGGGGTTGTTTCCAATGGCGACCACCTCGGGGCACTCCATAAGTTGTCCTGCACGCCCACACCCCCAACGCGTGGCACATATAGAGACAGCTCAAGCTCAAGGAGAAAAGAGGAGGTCCTTCCTGCTGTCAGGGGGCCCAGGGCAGGCTGCTTGGCAGATAAAATCCCCTACAGGTTCTCTCTGCAGGGCTGGGTGGGGTGGTGTGGTGTGTGTGTGTGTGTGTATGTGTGTGCACGCGCGCGCAGTGGTGGTGGAGAAAGCGCAGAGGAAGGCTTGTTCTGACCCCACCCCCTACCCCCACCCAGGTGTGGCCCTGCCCCAGCCCAGGGGCACATCCTGGAAGCACGGAACCCAGTACAAAGTATTTATTTAAACTCAACGACAAACACAACCCCTGCCTTAGAGTCTTCCGTCTGTACAGTGAATAGGCTCTCACCCTTCCCATGCATGATCACACGCAGAATCCACACCTTGTCACGTGGAAAAATAAAGTGTCTCCCTGGTGGTGACGCGCAGCGCTCACGCCGGCTGGCTGCTGCTGGAAACCCAATCAGCGGACAAGAGGCTGCGCCACCTGGCGGGCACACGCACTCTGCCCTGGCCCTGCCGCGTGCGTGCACAGAGGGCTCGGCCCAGGGCCTCTGCGCCCGGCGGGAAGCTGGCAGGATAGGCGGGCGCAGCAAGGCCTGTGCTTTATTGTGGAGCAATCTGAGGGGGGACACGCTGTGGCCACACAGCCTGCACCCTGTCCTGGCCACCCTGCTGGGAGGTGCACAGGCCCTGGACGCAGCTGCCAGCGTCAGGGTGAGCAGCCCCCAGGGAGCGGCTTGCGCAGGACAACATGCCCTCTGAAGCTGCCCGGGCCTTGGCGCTGGGCACGTCCCGCACGTCAGTCCAGCTCGATGGGGCTGCTGCCCTCCTGGCCCTCCTCGCCCTCCTCCTGCTCTGACGAGCCCATGAGACTGCTCAGAAGGTTCCCTGGAAGCAAAAAGGAACGTGTCCTGCTCAGGGCCCTCTCCACCCCCCAATGTGTGGAGCCCAGACTTGCACCCAGGAGCCCCACGACTCGGACCGAGGGGTGAGTCCCCAGAGCACAAGGCCTTGCTGGAGAACGTGCGCCTATCGCAGAGAGGGGCGGTGCTCTCAGGACCAGGGCAGGGGGGCTCCTCATCTGTGGGCACTTTTATGCAAACACAAAACCAGCCACTGGGCTGGGGGACCCGTGGCCAGGCACTGGCGGGGACAAGAGCACTGTCAACCAGAGGTGGGGGCCTCCTGCGCTGGCCTCAGCCCGGCCCCCCCACACAAAGGGCACATCAGGGCCAACAGGAGGCCTAGCTGCCAGCCCCATGGAAGAAGGGCCAAAGTGGACAGAGGCACAGGGGCCAGGAGGCCCCACAAGGACAGGGCACCTCACACAGGGACAGGTGACATCTCCATCCAGTGAGCAAATGGAGGGGTGGGGATATGTCTGACCGGAAAGAGACGTGGGGAAAGGTTAAGTGGGTCACCATCTCACCTCCACCAGAAACAAATTCCAGATTGGGAAAAATTAAAGTCCCACTTAAGTGAGCGAGCAATTCAACTGATAGATAACCCAGGACCTCCCGGTCCCACTCCTCGGGGAGGGACGACCCACTCTCTGCAGGACAGCACTGCCTGCACCAGGGAGTGGACACGGACGAGTGTGGCAGACGTGCCCACGCCCAGAGAAGTGACATGCACAAGACCAGGAGGCGCAGCCACAGCGGCAGAGTGAGTGTCAGCATAAGGGCCAGCTGTGCGCTGCACCCCTGAGCCACAGCAAACAGCCCCAAGAGCAGATAAGCACAAAAGGGGTCAGGGTCAGGTGCAATGTCCTCAATTAAAATGACTTTAAAAATAAAGATTAAGAAACCGCTATTTAGCCAAGGGCTGGATGATGAGTTGCTATAAGGGGTGGGGCCCGAGAGGCCGAGGGTCACCTACAGGGAATGACGGGGGCACAGGGCAGGACTGGCAGAGCTGCCTCTGCAGCCTCTGTTGGGATCTGACGAGAGGAAGCTATCAAGACAGCCCGCACGGGAGTCTGCGAAGACCTGTGGCCCTGTGAGAGCCATGGCGGTGATGTGGGTTTGGGCCCTTCCTCCCAGCTGGGCCAGCCAGCAGCGAGGGGCCAGGCACCTCCCCCAGCTTACCCAACAAGCCTCCGTAGGAAGACGTCTGCTTGGGCGGCACACCGAAGAAGAGCTGTCCTATCCTGTCAAGATACTGAAGGGGCAAAGGCCCGGGTCAGGCCGACGTGTGGGGGGCCAGTGGCAGCATGGCCCTCCTGCCCACTGCCTGTGCCCCCACCCACTGTTTGGAGCCATTCACCTCATGGTACATTGGGTCCCTCCTGAGAGACGGCTGATACTGCTCACACAACACTGTAAAGACGGTCAGCTTCCCACTGGAATAGGGAAATGGCCAAAGGTTTGTCTCTGAGGAGAGGAAGCCAGAGAGACTGAGGCCCCCTGCTGGCCGGCTTGCACACGTACCCGTCGACAGCCAGCAGCAGGAACCAGATGAAGTTCAGCAGGGGCTGCACAAAGGGGGGTCCAGCCTCAATGGACGGGTGCTTCTGAGTGTAGGTCGTGAACACCACCGACGCACTGCTCTTGTTCTTCAAACAAAGGAATCTGACGTGAAAGCCACTGGTCAGGGGGAGCCTGGAGGACAGGGGTCTCCACCCACAGGCACACCAACGGCACATCCAGCCAGCCACAACTGGCCAAGAACCGGCCACCATGGCGACCCAGAGCCCTTGCTGGACAGGAACTCTGCAAGTTACAGGGGACGCGCAGCTCTACAGGGGGACCTACCTCTCACCGAGCACATGCTGCTGAGAGGAGACAGCAGGGGAGGTGGCCTGGGGGCTCGGGCTCCACCCAGCGCCTGTCCCAGCTGGGCTCACAGAGACCCTGCCCTGGGGGGGACATCCTTTCAAGGGTGTGCACAAGGGCCCTGAGACAGGAGTCTAGAGCAGTGACTGCTGGGAGGCAGGGCCAGTTTGTGAGCCTGCCGTCCCTGCCCAGTGCCCTGCCGGCTGCACACACCCGCCCACCCTGGCGGCCTTTAAAGGTCTCCAAGGTCACGTGCGAAAGACAGACACACAGCAGGAGCAGCCTGGCCGGGTCTGCAGTCAGGGGGCTGGTGCAGGTGGCACGGCTCATCCACATGTTAGGGTGCCATGCGCTCCAATTGCTTGTGATCTGGGCCCTAACAGCAAGCTTCTCTACACCAAGACACCCTGTTGGATGTAACATGCAGAATACACATACCCACAAACACCAGACACGTCAGACACGCACTGACACACTACATGCAGAACACACATGGTAGTTAACACATGTCAGACACAGACACAAACACTAGACATATTACAAGTAGAACACACATGCCAGACAACACGTGCCAGATACCCATGGACACACGACAAGCAGACTAGACACATCAGACAAAGCTTGTCAGGCACAGACCTCAAACACATGACCAGCAGCACAGAGATGCTGGACACACATGGGACATACAACAGAAAACACACACGTCAGACACGCCACACATGCTCCGTACAGACACAGGGAAGATGCAGCTTGCTGCCTGGTGTTTTGACCAGAGCGCCCTGGCAGCTGCCCCGGGCAACAGGGTGGCCTCGTGGTCCCGGTGCCCATAGCAGCCCACAGCCAGGAGGTCTGGCAGGCCCCGGCCCTCCCTCCGAGGCGGCAGCGGGAGCGCAGAGTACCTACTGGAGCACGGCCTGGGCCACAAACATGTCCACCTCACTGCGGAAGCCACGCGACGTCGCGTACTCCACCAGCATGTTGGCGCAGCCCTCCCCGTCAGCCGAGTGCAGGAAGTGGTACCGAGACTCACAGTAGTTCTGTTCTGGGGGAGGAGGCAGCCGGCTCAGACTCGGACTCGGGCACCCAGAGTGCACCCGCCCGCCTGCCCTCGACTCGGACTTTCGGAGGTGTAGGTGCCCCACCGACTCCCGGGGCTCAGAGTCTGAGCTGAGCTCAGGAGGGGCCTGGAGCCCAGGTGAGCCTGGCTCAGAGGGACCACGCTGGATGGATGCGTACGAGGAAGGATGGGGGTCCGTGCCCACTGCCTTCCAGTCACAGGAGGGCTGCCTCAGAGCCCCAGACAGTCGCACAGAGGCTGCCTAGGGGCTCTCGGAGTCTTCCTCGGGCCTGACTGGGCCAAGGAACTGGACACTGGGCAGTGCCTGGTGCTGTGGCCGAGCCGGTCAGCCTGAGGTCTCTGCAGAGCAGACTGCCCAGCAGGGACCGCTACTCAGGGTGGGGTGGGAGGCCTCCCTGATGGCCCACGCCTGCTCCCTGCCCCTAGAGCCACAAAGAATGGAGAGAGAGCCACCTAGTGGCCACAGAGTACGGACAGGTGGCCCATGGTGGCCCGGGGCAAGACTGCCCACAGGAAGGGGTCAGGGTCTGAAAACCCAGCTTTTCTGAGAGCTAGGCGTTCAAGGGGTGATCTCAAGGGTGGGGCCGGAGTGCTGGGTTGAGGCAGGAGGGGAGGGTACATCATCGGGTCATGGCTGGTCCTGCTGCCCCTGTCCCTGGGGTCTCTGCCCAGGGCCCTCTCATGCCCACCTTTCCACAGGGTGACAGCCAGCAGCTGGTGCAGCTTGGGGTGGCCCAGCTTTCCAGACCCGCCCCCTGACCACTTGAGGGCTCGGGACACAAAGGCCACTCTCTCGGGGGAGTTGGGGTCCATCAGGCTGAAGAGCTTGTCCAGGTTCTCTGCAACACAGGGCCCAGGCCTTACCTGGGGCACATGGTGCGCAGACCAGCAGAGACCCCCACCCCCCCTCACCTAGGCCATAAAGGTCAGTGATGCCCCCGCCACATGGACCACCACCTGCTCTCCACCAGTCCCTCCCGCCTCACTGCCCAGCCCGCCTGGTGCTGGGTGCAGGGTGGCGTGCAGGCTGGCAACCAGCCTGGAGCGGGCTGGGAAGAGGCCTGGGCACAGTCCGTGGTTCTGTGAGCCCCCAGCTGCCCTGCCCAACCCACCCCTCATTCCACCTTAGGAGGGCACCAGGGTGGAGGCAGCAGCAGGGGAGGTCTGGGTGGCTGAGGAGCCTGCGGTCACTCACCCAGCAGGTCATTGGTCACGCCCACCTCGGCCTTCTCCAGCGACTCCAGGACCAGCATGGATAGGTCCGCAGCGCTGTTCTGCTGCAGACACGGCGATGGACGAGGGTCACACAGGGTCAGCGTCTTGGGGCGCCCACACCCGGTTCCCCCAAGGAAACGGACACCCAACCCCACCCCAGGCCCAGGGGCACTGGTGAGGGCAGGCGGCCGATAGGCAGCCTGTGACTCTGGGCTGCTTGGTGTGTGTGTCTCACTAGGGACTCAAGCGGACAGTAACTGTGAGGTGCCTGGCCGGGGAGTGACACCTAGCCAGTCAGTCTCTCACCCTGCAAGGCTTCACGTGAGTGTCTGGAGGCAAGGAGGGGCCTCCCAACACCCAGTGTGGAGAGCCTGGAGCAGACACATCCCTGGGCCCGAAGAACCCGAGGCCAAGACCCAGGGCCAGTGAGAGACAGGGGGCTGAGGTGCCCCTCTGAGCCCGTGACTGAAGGCGGGCAGGGAAGCCTGCCTGACCGCCGCTGCGGGGCTCACTGTGTGTCTACCAGGGGTGGGGAGGAGCCCCCCAGCGTGCCTGCAGATGCACTCGGGCCCTGCTTACCTGGCCATGGCTAAAGAAGAGCAGCGCCCCGGAGAACATGAGCTCGCGGGCATCCACGTGCTTGCCCTGAGACATGTACCTGCGGCAGAGAGGCTGCTCAGTGGGCAGACCAGAGGGCACCCCTCCCTCCCCCCCCGACCCGAGACACTCTGAAAGCAGAGCTAGCTGCCACACTGAGGCCATGACAGAGGCTGAACGGGCTTCAAAATGCTGGCACACAACCAGATGCCCCCAGAGCCCGGCCTGACCCCGATGGTCAGTGGTGCTGCCACAGGCATGCCCGGGGCGGGTCCCTCGGTGTTGGATCTCTTGCATGCACGCACGTGATCACATCACATCGCAGGGCCCTCACCGTCCCCCCACTTCCTGTGGTGTCGCAGGGAAGCTGGGACCACCCCTCAGGCCGTCTACCCCAATCCTCTCCCATCTGTCTGTCAGTCTGGGACACGTGACGTTGGGAGCTGTGCTGCTGGCATTTCATGTACCAGTACTGGCACCACAGGGCACAGCTTTCAGACTAAGAGACGAGCAAGAAAGGCCTGGAGATCTACTCCTGAAAATCAGCCGTGACCAGCCTGTGGACCCCAGCAGGGCACTGCCTGCCTGGCTCGCTCTGGGGTCACCCGCTGGAGGGGAGGCCCAAGGGATGGGCTCTGGGGACACAGGCCATCTCCTCCTGCGGGGCTTGGGGTTGGTCTACCCAAAGCTCCTCACAGTTCACTGCCCAGTGACCTGAGTGGCTGGACCCGCCAGTCCAATGCAAGGGGTGGCAAGCAGCCTCGCCGGGAGGGGCCATTAGCAGGAGGCCCAATGCCGTCGACAGAGATTCAATAAATGTTTCCGACAGAAAAGCCAAGCAACTCCTCTCGAAATGAGCTAACTCAATGATGCTCTTCAGGAAAGAAAAGCACTCGACCCCTGGAACCCCTGGCTGTGCCAAAGGTCAACAGAGGGAACCGTCCTAGTGCAGGGGGAGAGGTGGGTGGGCCAACTCTGCCAGCTGCCTGCCCAGAGGCTGCTTCCAGAAAGGTCAGTGGTCTGAGCCCTGGTGGCAGCTCCACCCACTCCCGAGGGGTGGTCCTGAGGGGGAAATGGCTGGAAGGCAGGGCAGTGGGTTTGGTTTCTGGAGAAGAGCCAGCACTCGAGTCCCTGAGCTGGACGGACCGCCAGAGACTGCACAGGACCCCATGCCAGCTAGTCCCAGCAGCTGGGGTGGTTTAAACGTGGTCTCTTCTCACAGCACACAGTGGGACTCTCGGGAGGGCTGTGGGAGCCTTGGGGCAGATCCAGGGGCCAGAAATTCCAGACCCTTTGTCTAGAGCCCCTGCCCTCCCTGGTGCAAAGCTGGTCACAGGGCCACCTGTCCCCACTGCCATCTACCAGGGAAACAGGACCCAGACTGCCCTCAAATGCAGGCAAATCCAGGGCCATCGGCCACCACCTCCAACGGCTGCTTCCAGGGGCATTCTAAAACTATGTGCTGGGCTGCTCTCCGCAAAGTCAGCAGTTCGAAATCACCAGGCGCTCTGGAGGGGAAAGGTGCAGGTTTCTGCTCCCATGGAGATCTACAGTCCCAGAAAGCCACAGAGGCAGTTGTTTTCTGCCCTCTAGGGTTGGAACAGGCTCGATGACAGAGTCTGGTTTGGGGGCTCTGACTGTGTCCAGGCCAGAGCCGGGGTGGTGTAGGCTGGTGCCGTCAGACGGGTCCTGAGCGAGCGTGAGTTCCAGCACAGGGAGGAAATGGTGCCCAGTCTCTCGCCATCCTCACCACTGTTGCTGCTACAGCCCAGGGCTACAGCCTTGACAGTCCATCTCCTGGAGGGTCTTCCTCTTGCTGCTGCCCCTGCTTTACCAGACAAGACGTCCTTCTCCAGGGGCAGGGCTCTCCTGACCACATGACCAGCCAGACTTGTCTCTCTCTACACTTACACATCTATGTGTCTACATATACATACATATGTGATGCATATACAGGTATATATATAGATAGAACACACACAGATATAGGCAAACATCACCACTCCAGGCGAAACACATTAACGGAGACCCCGCGGAACAAGTGAATCGGTTCTGGAAGCCCTGCAGATACCGGCCATGCACAGTAGGCGCGGGGAGGTCAGCTGCTCAGGACGGATCCCAGGCTGTGGCCTCTTGCCGGCAGGTCGCCAGGCCTCTCTTTCGAGGCGCCGCGAGTGGCCAGTGTGAGCCCCGTCCACGCCCGAGGCCGCCGGGCGGGTGAGTCACCGGAGGCTCTCGGACATGCGACCAGGCCTTCGAGCGAGGCAAACACGCCGCCCATTCCGCCAGCGCGCCTCCAGGTAGCCAGCTGTACGGCCGCGGTGACCGCCGCCCGGGCTTTCGGCCGGGGACATCAGAATCGGGGACACGCGGGGTGCGGGCCTCGCGGATGGCCGGGGAGGAGGAAAAGAGGGCTCGGAGGACAGGACGGGGCGACGCAGGGGACGCGACGACGGGCATGGCGAGACCAGGTGCGGGGAGCTCGGAGCCGGACCCCTCGGCCGGCGGCCCCCGGCCACTCACCCAGCTCGGCCCGGGACGGGCAGCGGCGTGGGCCAATGGGAGCGCGCGGAGCGCGGGGCGCAGCCAATGGGAGCGCGGGGCCGTGGGGAACGGCCAATGGGATCACGCGGGGCGGGCCGGGTCGAGAAGCCGCCGCGGCAAACCCACGGGCCCGGTACCTGAAGAAGAGGGTCCGGTACATCTGGTGGGCCTCGTAATAGTCGCCCTTCTCCACGCTGGCGCGCAGCTTGCCCTCCACGCGCTGGACGCCGCCGCGGTTGCGGGCGCCGTTGCGGGCGCCCTCCTGCTCGGCCATCGCCGCCGCCATTGGGCCGGCGCTCCGAGCAGGCGCTGAGCTGAGGCGGCGCGGCCGCGGGTCCTCCCGGCTTCCGTCCTCCCGCCGCCGCTACGGTGGCCGGGAGGAGCTCGGGCCACGTGATCGGCCGGCCCACGTGACCTCGGGAGGGGTGTGGCTGGCGCGGCCTGGCGGCTCCGGCTGCTTACGCCACAATCGCGGACCTGGCGGGCTGGGGAGCTGATGGCGCCCTCCCGGCCACGCTGTGCGCCGACCAGGACTCCTCGCGTCCCCCGGGCCCGGCCCCGTGTGTATGTCTGTGTGTTTGTGCGCCCTGGGACGGCTGCCCGCCTCCTTCCCAGGAGGTGCCAGATTCGGAGTGACGACCTGTGTTTGGGGACAAATAGCTCCCAGTGTTTGCATTATCGTCGTAGCTCCAGGTGACACGCTGGCGTCCCCCTCAGTGAGTGCACCGCCCCGCCGCAAGCTCCAATGGGCACTCTACCTGGTATTATTCGGCGTCAGACCCCGGAAGATTGTACCCCAAATAAACCGTGTCACAGGTCCAACTGGACCACAGGCTGGTCTGGAGCGGACATAGCTGAAGAGGCGTTTGGTTTGAAGGCGGCGTTGGGCCTCCGGTGTAGGGAGTCAGGGGAGTCAGGCCCTGCAGGGTGGCCCCCAGCTCCTTGGAAGGCTGCCTTGGGTTTTGGCAGGTTCATTGGAAGGACTAAGCCGGTGCCCACAGGGCAAACCTCAAAAGCTAAGTAACCGTAGTTTGCCAAGAGCACCACACAATGAACAACCAACCAACCTCACTGCCACCCAGTGGATTGGGACCTTATAGGGCAGAGTGGAACTGCCCCTGTGGGACTGTTAACTCTTCAAGGGAGTAGAAAGCCCATTCTTCCTCTAGAGCAGTGGTTCTCAGCCTCCCTAATGCCGTGACCCTTTCAGACAGTTCCTCATGTGGTGGTGACCCCAACCATCACATTATTTTCGTTGCTACTTCATAACTCTGATTTTGCTGCTGTTACGAATCGGGCGACCCCTGTGAAAGGGTCGTTTGACCCCTGAAGGGGTCTAGACCCACACATTGAGAACCCCTGCTTTAGAAAAGCGGGGCAGGACGAGTGGCTTCAAACTGCTGACCATGGGGTTCACAACCAGATAGGCAACAGTGACGCCACCATCATCGTCGCAGAACAGAAGGTGTTATTCCTGACAGTTGACTCCGGAGCAAACCCTTCCACTCCCTGTTTGCCTCCCTGGCACCTCCTGATGCTTCGTCTAGGTCAGCTCTACCAGCGCAGTCTTTAGAGCGGGTGTCTCCCACAGGGTGTTAAAGTCAGACGGTAACAAAAATTCCCAAAATGTTCATGGTTTGTATTTTTTAAAAATCATTTTATTGGGGGCTCATACAACTCATCAAAATGCACACATACATCCATTGTGTCAAGCACATTTATATATTTGTTGCCATTATCTTTCTCAAATCATTTGCTTTCTATTTGAGCCCTTGGTATCAGCTCCTCATTTTCCCTCCTCCCCAGTAAGTGTGGGAAACAAGGATTTCTCTCAAGTTGTCTCCCCAAAATATATGCCAAACTTAGCTGCTTGCGAATGACTATACACTTGAAGGTCATCATAAGTAGATCCGGGGTTATTCTCCCTAAGGGCTATCAGCCATCTAGAGCAAACAGTCACCACTGTTTATCCCACAACAAGTAGGGCCCACTCCCTTCTGATAAGGATAGTAGTTGTCTATTTCCTTGTAGGAGTCCCCAGAGAGGTCAAGCCCACCCAAGGGTGGCCAAGGTTAGGCCACCATCATGAATCTAGGGTCCGCCCTTCTTGTCACATGTATACCTCTAGTTCCTCCCCTTCCTATCATGTGTACAGCCCTAGCTCATCCCCTCCTATAATGTGCATGCCTATTGTACTGCCCCTTCCTGTGACTGTGTGGTTACCTGCAATCACGCCCCCCCCCCCAAGTAGATAACCCTTGGTTAGCAATAAACTGGGTCCTCCAGCCTCCTGCCTGGTCTTTGAGTCCCTGCCCCACCTCGCTTCGGCCCACGCTGTGCTGGGGCCTGGCTGGTAAGACCATGGCCACCCAGGAGGTGAGCATGCTACCATGAAATGTGTCTGACTCCATTATTCCAATCTCTCTTCTAACTCTCATGCTCTCGATGACTTTAATATAATCTTTATCTCAACTGTACAATTGTGCTTAGTGAACCCGTGATTAGTGGGGCGGGGGGGGGGGGGGCTGGCACCCCTTCCTCAAACCACAAATAAGTATTTTTTTCTTCCTTTTTTTTTTTCACAAATAAGTATTTTTTTAAAGTTAAAAACATCCCTGTCATAACAATAAAACCATTTTTGGGGGTAAACTCAGCTTACAAGGATCAATATACCATGCAAAAGGTTAAAAATTCAATGTGCATTTAATTATGGAACTCATTAGTTCTTGTGGGCCTTTATCAGTAACCTGTTGATTACCGAAGGAGGAAAATAAAAAGGAGGGGAAAACAACCAGCAGGCTTCCCCTAGGCTGCTAATGACTAGTTGTATTCAAGGCAGGGCTCACCCAACAGCTTTGGTTAGTGATAGAATCCAAGAACCATAACAGCATCTATTTTTTGCCTTATTCTCATTAAAATGGCAATAATAAACAGGACTATGGGTCCTGTAAAAGTCTCATGTGGGGGAGAGGAAACCAGCACAGTGGTGCTTCTGCACCCATCTCTTTTCTTCTGAGGGTGCAGCCCAAGCTACTAAGAAAATGTGCTCCCGTGTCTGCTCCACTGGCCTGGCCGCCCTGAGTTTCGTCCAACAACTAGTGTTCCTGTGCCACACCCGCCCTGTGGGTCCTGGAGTCCAGGCCAAGAAAGTCTTGGCTGATGGGCCAGTAGAGGTACTGAGCACCGTTTACTTCTTTGGGCTTGAGTCTACCATCTGGGTGCCAAGCACTGCAACTGCATATTGAAGGGCATGGGCACAGAAGCGTGAAGTGACAATGGGTATGGGGTGGCTGGGAAGCCAGACCCTTGGACTCCGACCAGAAGCCACGTCCCCAGGGCTCTCATCCTGCAGACCCCTGGCTCCTTTCACCTCTGTTGCTGGTGACATACTGAACCATCCTCTTCTAGACAGGTCCTAAGTCCCAATGAAAATCCCAACATTAGGACACAAGGCACTGGGCCTTGATTCTTGCTGGCAGTGACCCCATTTAACAGATGAGGACATTGAGGCTCAAGGTTGTGATTTGCCAGTGCTCCCTGCTACTCACATGTGATACCTTTGTGAGTCACTCTCACCCTCTTGCTGACCCAGTGCACGCACATGTGGTGCAGACCCTAGACTGTCCTCTACAAGAACACACAGTGAGTGCAGGCTGTTGGGAAGATGGCACCAGGAGACTTTTAAGCATGGGGTGGGACACAGACTTTCAGCTTCTGAAACGTGCAGATCTGAGTCACACAATGAAGCAAGGTGCACGTGGTAGGTGGTATTTGTCCCCATCTGATGATTCCAACAGGGCAACACTGGCCACCCCTGGAAATGAGCCCATGGGGACATGGTGCTTATGGTCATGGAGACCACCTGGGCTCTCCCCGTCCACCGAGCTGTCCCTCTAGAGGGCCCCAGCACAGCTCCAGTAAAACCTCCTGCTCCTGTGCCCCCGCGCCCCCCCCCCCCCATGAGCCTCACTGACACTTGTGTTAAACAGAACCAGGAAGAGAGTGGATGCAAATTCTCTACGCTCCTATCTGGGGGGCTGAGACTCTTGTGGAGGGAGGCCTTCACGTTCATGGGTTGGAGATGCGTCCGTCACATTCTCATAAAAGCTGTTCCCCACCATGTTCCCTGCAATCACATGGTTGCTACTATACAGGCTTGAAGGTTACCTGAAGGCTATTTGAAGGTTGTCTGCCACCCAGAGCAATCAGACCCTATTGTCTGTCCCACCCTAGTAGGGCCCACTGCCTTCTATTAAGGATCACAAGGTGGGGTGGCGGGGGAGAGATCAGGGACATTAAAGGTCAAGCCAACCGTGGTTAAGCGGGCATCTGGACTCCAGGACCTGCCCATCTTGTTCCACACATGCCTTCCAGTCAAGGGTATGCCCCTAGTATCTCCTTTCCTATTTCGACAGGTCCTGTGACGTGTCTGAAGTGGCTTGCATGCCTGAGATTGTAGAAGCCTGTTAAGAGCATACATTGGGCCCACTCTCTGGCTCTGGTCGTCATGGAAGAGATGAGCCTGTGCATGTCTTATCTGAAATCTTCAGTGCCCCCTTTATTGACACAACCGCCTTGTAGAATCCACCCGGTGTGGAGGCTGATTCTCCACACTCCAGGTCAGGTGGGAGTAGCCTGCAGAGCTCTCTCTACAGGGCAGCTCGAGGGTGAGGGACTGCTGGCACCATGTGAGGAGCAGTCGCCATGGCCCCAGAAAGGCCCTTTGTTCCTGTTCCTCCCACCTGCTGGCACTCAGCTGTGGGGTGGGGGTGGGGTGTCACCGGCCAGGTGTGCACACACACTGCCGCACAGACACTGCCATCGACTGCAGTGCTGCCCGCCCCGCCCACCCCAGCACGGGCAGAAATAAGCACACTGAGGAAAGAAACATACTGTTTTTTATTCATTTGAAATATGACATGCATGTTTAAAAATTAAAACTTTATTTAAACATCTTAATAGCATCTTATCAATGGGGTGGCAAAAGAAACCCTACCAGGGAGCAGAATGTGGAAAAGCAGTTACAAAAATACATTGCACAAAGTCCTGTCTCGCGTCTTTAAAAATAAATAAATTTTCAAAATATCTTCACCCCACCCCCACACTTACTCTTATATCATAAATTCTGATGTATGGATTTAACACGGAAGATACAAAACATCTGTCCACACCCACCCCGCTGACCACACAAGTGTCACCCCAGGTCTGCAAGGGGAAAGTGCTGCCCCACACAGGACGCCAGGTGTTTATCAGGTGGAGGAGCTGTCCACATGCGACTTGAGCTGCAGATGACGTGGGCGTGTCCAGAAGAGAGCGGGTGAGCAGGGCCAGCAGCCGGCAGAGCCACTGGGAGCCATCCGTGGGATGACCTCGGCTTCTAGGTGCAACAGTAACACCCCAACTAGACATGTGACACCCAGGGACAGGGAGGCAGCGTCTGGCCCTGGCCAAGCTCAGCGAGCCCAGGGAGGCCCGCTGGTGTCCTCGGCAGCAGCTCCCCGAACCCCACCTGAAATCTACAACCACCGCTGCTGGCAAGTATAGGAGGCCCCCCCACCCACCCAAAGGGAAGGTGCTAAGAGCTCTGAAATTTGGGTTCCCCTCTTTCCCTGAAAGAACTGTGTGCTGGGTTTAGCACACAGAACAAAGCCCCCGCCCCCCCCCAAGTCCCTCGGAAGGTCTTAGGTTAAACACCACAGTGTAGAAAATGTTAAACCTTTTAACCCCATTTGCTGTGTTTCTGGTGTCAAGAGACGAGTGTTAGCTTTATGCTGGAAAACAAACCCCCAGAACACACTGGGTGTCTGTGGTAGTGTGCATCAATGAATGTCCACAGAGGCAGCTGCGGCAGCCAAGTGCTCTCTGGGCATGGCCATCGCAGACACAGTGGACGTGACAGTGAGCCTCAACTGGTCTTCCTGGTGGTCTGGGGACGTTTATTGGGGGCTGTGTCCTGCAACCCTACAGGCTCCTGGCCGCGGGCATGTGTTCCCAGCGGTCCCGTGTCTGTGCGCAGGGAGGGAGGCAGCGGGGCCTCTACTTGATGGGCTCGCCATGCACCCTGAACCGGTAGAGACACGTGTACTCTGGGTGGCCCCAGTTGGAGAGGATCCGAAGTTCCACAATTTGAAAAGCTCTTTCAGGTCTTTTCTGGAATCAGAGGAGAGAAGAAAAAGAAGTGGCCCATCTTTCCTGTAACTGGAACCCAGTGGCGTCCTGGCAGCCATGGACTGAGGTTTCCAGCTGAGCAGAGTCCTTGAGGCAGGGCAGCACCAGGACCCAGTCACACGGTACAGAGAAAACATGCCAACCAAGGCTCGCTGGGGGAGCCCTGCAGGGGCAGCCCTGCAGGCTGGTCCTTGATGTTACTTGTGTCATGTGGGCGGGCATGGGCGGGGCCTTACCAGCACATGGAACATCTGGAGCGACTCCCCGTCCTGATCGTACGTGAACTGTCCCAGAAGCAGCCCCTCTTCCTGATACTCACTTTCCAGCCCCTGAAAGCAAGGCCGTGAGGAAGGCATGAAGCGCTGGAGGAGCAAGGAGCCCGATGAGGTGGCTGCGGGCCGGACATACTCACATAAACAGCAAAGTCCTTGGGCGCGCTGGTGATGTTGCCTGTTGGTGAGAGCGCCTTCGGTATGTGCTCCAGTGTGAAGGCGGTCGGGTGCACGGCCATGGACAGCCGAACCACCAGGTAGCCCTGCGCACCCCTGAAGGCCCAGCAGTTCCCAGGGTGGATGTCAGGCTGTGGAGGGCAGAGCAGGCACATGTTTAGAGCAGCAGCAGGGAGGGGAGCAGGACAGCGCATAGTCCGCAGTAAAAAGCCACAGACAAACGGGGCCGTCTACTTCAGGACCATGAAGTAAGTCAGCCCTGTGCAGGGCCGCTCCGGCCTTACAGAACGGGGAAGTGATGCCACCTTGCAGAGACCAATCACTGCGGGCAGTGCCCCACGCACGGACTGACTAGTGCGCTGGCCGCCACAGATCCACGCAGTGCCTCCAGAGGAGCCCGCAGAAGAAACCCCACAGATCTGAGCAAAGAAAGGCACCCGCAGAACTGTTGCGAAGGCACACTGTATTGTGTGGCCTGCAGTAGTGTCTGCAGCTGTGGACCCTGACTGACCATGGATGGCACTGGGGCGGCGGGGCGGGCGGCAGACACTCTAGGACAGTTGGTGATCATGGTATCTCCCCTGTCAGGTAAGTATCACTCTAGGACACTTGGGTGTGCTCACACAGAAGCTACACCAGGATCAAGCAGCAAGCGCTTCCAGAAGGGGAGACATACACTGTGTCCTTTAGAATCCGGAAGGTGTGTGTCAAGACTGTCCTCTGTCCTATGTATCTGACTTGCAATCACTACACCAGGGTGGAGATGACACCACCTTCCCGCTTAGTGAAGGCGTCTCGAAGGCCTTCCCAAAGACGAGGACACAGACTTCATGGGTGACACACCTCCACAGCCAGACAACAAAGACCCCATCCTGGAGCAGCAGCTGCTCTGCAGTGGGAAAATGCGGCAAAGACTCAAGTTCAAGGGTTTCATTTGTCTTGGACCCGCAATCGCCATTCAGGGAAGTAGCAGTCAAGAAACCACTGAGCAAAACTGCCACACAGACCTCTCTGAAGTGTTCCAAGTGAAGATGTCCCTCTGAGGACCAAGGTGTGCCTGACCCGAGCCACAGTCTCCTCCGTCCCCCACATGTGCATGTGCTGTGCACAGTGAATGGAAAGGGACCAGAGAAGACCGGGCAGGCGGGGAATGCTAAAAGCACCATGGACCTCCATAAGCCAGCCAGTCTCGGAAGATCTACGGCCAGAACGCTCTTTGGAAGCGAGGGTGGTGGGCCTCGTCTCAGTACTTTGGACATGTGATCAGGAGACCAGTCCCTGCAGAAGGATATCCCACTGGAGACAGCGGAGGGACGCACAGGGCCCTTGATCAGATGGAGCACAGGCTCAGACACGACAGGGCTGTAAGGGTGGTGCAGGCCCTGGTGGGGCCTTACTCTGGTGCCCACAGGGAGACTGTGCACCAGAGCTGACCAATGGCACCTTCCCAGCCCCCTCCCAGCCCTGGCCCAAGGGTCCTGGAGAGGCAGGGCACTGAAGGGAGGAAAGTATGTGTGACACCACCGGTCACAGGGCCACTCGCAGCAGCAGATGGGCAGGAGCCACTCCACAGACAAGGGTGTGGCTCGCAGACAAACACCCCCACCCTCCTGGGCTGGCCACCTGCTGTCCCCACCTTGTCCCTGGCCCCGGCAGGGACACAGGTGCACTGAGCCAGCAGCCAGACAGTGGCTCACCTGAATCACAACACGGGGCGACTGGGAGAAGTACCAGAGCGGGACCCCGAACAGGCTGAGCAGGGCCGTCTTGGTCTCGTAGGTCTCGGAGCAGCGGGTGCTCAGGACGCTGCCACCTGAAAAAGCGAGGACCCTCAGCTCACTACTGGCACTTTGGGGAGCAGAATCAGTGCCCTCTAGGGGTCACTCCGGGCCCCATGTTCTCCAGCTACAGGTATCACCAGAAACAACCTGACAGGAGGTGACCCTGTACTCACTGCTCTGTGGCCTCACGCCCAGGCCAGTCTACACCTGCCTTAGGGCCGAGAGTCAGAACCCACTGGAACAAAGTCCTAATACTGCCCTCACCGCCCAGGACCGTGGGCCTGTCCTGGGGATTAAAGCAGTCTTCTCCCACCCCCAGGATCATGGGTCTGCCCTGGGGATTAAAGCAGGCTGCTCTCACCCCCAGCCTCCCCAAGTGCTGGGCCTAGCCACGGGATCAGGACGGGCTTCCGGCAGCACTTCTGGCAGGGAAGATAACAGAGTGATAGTCGCTGACAGATGACATGGGGAAGAACTGGGGACAGGACTCTGGACTGCAGCTGCAGCTCTGTGCGTGGTCGGGCGAGCAGGCACACAGGGAGTATCTCTAGAAGCTCTGTTGGACCCTCCACAGGAAGCTGGGTAGACAGTAGGCCCTTGAGATCCTGCTGCAGCCTCCTGCCCACCCCACCCCTCTCCTCCACTCCTTGGAAGGCTGCCCGTGTGTAGCTTCGTCAGGACCCAGGGGGCACACTGGCCCACCGCCATGGCCCCGGGCTGTGCTATGCATTGTACGCAGACGTGTCTTTTATGGAATTCATGCCTCAGCTCAGGGCCTGGCCTTGGGGTGCCGCCCACGCCCCTGCTGAGTGAGTCACGTGTCTCTAAACCCCAGTCCTAAACTGCAGGGCAGGGCTGCTCACTGTCCACGTGGTTATGGAAGCTCTGGTGGCCCTCATTGCCTCCCCCTCCCACCCAGAGGCCACAGCAAGTCGGGAGGCCTAGTTCCCATGCGGGGTTTGGCCTTGGCTCCCCCAGCTTGGCTCCTGCCTGTGGCAGGGGACTCGGCCAAGCCACATGCTCTCTCAGACCCTCTTCTGGGATGCTCACCACCAGACTCTAGAGCGAAGTCCACCAGGCCAGTCTTGTCCTGTGAATATAGCTTCAACGCGTTGTTCACGATCGCACGTGCTTGCTGAAGCAGGGCCAAGGAGGGTGGGGGGTTATCGACGTGCAAACCAGGGCCGGCTCCCATCACCCAAGGGCAGAGACCTCAGGGGCAGAGAGAGGCCGAGCGCCCATGTGGGCGGCAGAGCTTCGGCTTCACGCTGCCAGGCAGGGCTGGTTCGAGAGCTAAGCACCTGTGCAGTCAAGCAGCCTTGCGGCTCTTTGGCACGTGGAGGGGGCAGCCTGGGACTGCCATGCTCAGGTGGGGCTCTGTGACCGTCTCCTAGAGCACAGTGCCCCTTCCAGAGGAGCTGCCCAGCAGCACCCTGCGTCAGGCATTATCTGAGGGGCCCACCATGGCCCCGCCTTGGAGCTACTCACCGCCTCTGTGATTCCGGGGACCCCCGCCTCCTGCACAGTGGCCACCACGGCGGCAGGGCTGGGCGCCTGCTGTGTCACAGAGATGTGGTAGGTGATGTTCTTCAGGAGCTGCAGCTCCAGGTCCTGCAGCCGCCACTGCAGCTCGTCCTTGCTGACGAACTGGGAGGAGAGCCTGTGCTGCAACCCCGCAATGGTTGCTGGGTCATCGGAAAAGAGGAGTCTGATGGTCTCCCTGACCTGGGTGTCCACCTGGAAGTCCAATGGCCAGTGCGCTCAGTCAGGTAACTCCAGCTCTGCCTCCCCCACCTCCACTCCCTCAGGGCTGTCACTCGGGGCCTCTGACGTCCCAGGGACACGGGACAGCAACACCTTCGTGCTGAACATCAAGACCCCTGACCCCAACGCTGCCACCCAGAGTGGGGCAGATGGAGATGAGCTGAGGGCCCAAGCGCTGCAGATGCAGCACAGGCAGCCAGCCACTGCCGCAGGGCTTCCCCTCGACAACTTGCCCGCCTTGGGGGAGACAGGGAGGGAACGTCTACCAACCACACACACACAGCCATGCACATCCACAATCACAATTATATGACTGAGGAGGACAAGGAAAAGAGTGAAGTCTACTGAGAAGGCACGTTCCCTGGGCTGCGGAGGCCGTGGTGACCTGAGTGCTGCGGCACCGCTCGCTCACCTCCTCGCGGGTCATTGCTGCGTCCTCGCAGCTGCTCCTCAGGGCCTGCCAGCCGGCCACTTCCCCCCGCAGCTGCTCCAGCTGCTGCTCCAGCTGCCTCACCGTGGACAGGAGCTGCTGCTCATCGGCGGCCCCACTGAGAGGGGTCCAGGCAGTCAGTGGGGTCCTGGGCCATGGCCAGGAAGGAGAGTCCCTCCCCACACGAGTATGTGTCACCCCTTTCAGAGGGAGGTTGAATAGCACATTCTAACCCTAAGATGGCTAGCCCACCAGTCTTCGCCACCAGTTCAGACGGACAACCTAGCCCCACGGGCCAGGGGCCACCCACCACTGTGGCTTGACCCTCGTCTGCTTGGGTGTCGACGGGTTGACTAGCTCAAGCAGCCTCACCTTCATGGAGCAGAGCACCATCCCTTTCTGCTGTGCTGTGCAGCTTGGGGGCGGGTCCAAACTGCCCACCTGGGGGTCAGCAACCAAGCGCTTAACCCCTGAACTACCAGGAGTCTCCAATGAATGTCTACAAAGTGTTTTTATGTACAGGACTTCAGGGACAGTCCCTGTTCATCCACAATCAAGGATTAAGGGTCAGGCGGACAGTGGTGACTGCAGTAGGGGCAGCACTGTGGTGGAGCCTGGTCACGAGAGGCCTTCAAGTCGTATATGGCCCAGCCCCAGTGCGGGCACGGGAACCAGAGGGTGACCCCCCAGCCTACCTGGCAGTCCTCCGCATAGCCTGCTCCAGCTCCACCTGGATGGCCTGCAAGTGAACCAGTCAGTGCAGACGGTGCACCGCCACCGGCGGCAGACCCGCAGCACATCTCAGCCGCGGCCCACAGCCACCCACAGACCCTGCTGGAGCCCATGCCTGGGTACCCAGGTGGACATCCTCTCAGCCCTGAACAGCAGCATCACCATGGGCCGAGACCATGGGCCCCCTGGAGGCCATGAGGAAGACGCGCACTCAAGGATGTGTGGGCAGT